CTAACTCAACGGTGAGTTTATTACTTTCATTTTTCTGTAGTTTAGTTAGCGTTAGCGTGCATGACCGGCTCCGTCATTCTGGTTTTCCTTTAGTATGAGCGCCACAGGCGTCACGTCACGTGACTAAGAAAACGTAACGGGATTGGCTCGGGTTGGACACCACAATCCATTGCTAATGTCTGTGACCTTAAGTAACTCCTTCCCTTTTTACACTGAATTTAGACGCCGAATTTAAGACCATGAAATAGAGCCAGTTGAATCTCAGGAGACTGAAAATATTGAGTTTGAATTTTGAAAGGTTGAATTTTTTTATATGCTGATTGAAAATGTAATCACTTTGAAATAGTAATGTGAATTTTTAGCTTGAAGAGAAAATAACAAATGAAATTTAAACATTGTAGAAATAATGACAATGAATTTTTTTTAGGTCAAAAATGTGTTCTGAATATATTTTAAAACTGAAACAGTAAGTACAAACATACAACATTTCAATTTCAGTGGCGTTTTTTTATTCAAATCCCAGCGACACAGATTTACTTCCATAGAAATGTGTTGTTATCTGGTCAGTTAGTTGCTGCTGTTCTGTTAGGTCATCTAGTATTTGACGTCACATGCTGTCTGGAGACATAGAGAAAGAAATGGAAATTATTATTATTGTTTTTTATCAGAAGCTTTTTTGCAAATATCTTTCCATCCAATCTACTTTTCTGATAATCAAAAAGAAAAAAAAAATTGGCAACACTTGGCAAATTTGAGGAAGTCATTTTGAATTTTGTTGTTCTCATCAACTTTTGAGGTGCCATACTTTTCAATCCATGTAAAAAACGTGGTTGAAAACACAGCTGTTGATCATTGTTGAACTAAATGATTTTAGGAAGTCTTGTGGCATTGATGTTTTTCTTATTGAATACTGCGACATCGATATTAGCTTCCTTTAATTTAAATGTTTGACCTTAAGTCTGCTTGTAGGTAGCATTGGCTACAGCGACATACTGAATATATTATAGCCAGTCAAAGGGTTTGCTATATAATTAGCCTCAAAACAAACATTGCACTCCATCCTGCCTTGCAATATTGACATTGCTTACATTTATGTAAGGTATTTAGTGCAGGCTTAGTTCAGTATGATGACCCTATCATATCTGACCCAGTGGCGGCTCTGAAACAACGGTGTTAATTAAATCCAAATGTCAAGCATTGAATTATCAATTGCTGAAACACATAAAACACATAATTTCAGCGGATGAAAATAGCTGTTCTGCAATAATGAACTCCAGAAACCACAGCATTCTGATTGAATTATCTCTTTTCACACTCGCTGTCTGGCCACTGTGAGGCAAAAATCCTTACGTGTGTTAGCCAATCAGCATCAAGCAGTCAGCTTCAAGACCCGCCCTGTTCCATAGATCCTCTAAGAGGGGAGATCACATCCGAGAGCGGAATAAAGAGCTGATTAATGCAGAACATACATAAATCAGGCCCATTTTAGTGCATATTTAATGCAGTTTAATGAGGACATTTATGAAATTTGACAATATTTTACCAATAACCTTACAAAATTTACAAGGAAGAATTGGCTACCCTAGTATTCAATGAAAAATATCCACCGATTAACTATTATTCAACTCTAAGCAGTTGAGACTAACCATATTTTTGCGGATGAGTATCTCCTGATTCTATAGATCCATCTACATCTAGATCTTTATAAGTACAGATTGGTCTGCTAAGTTTGTTCCTGTTTTGATTTTACCAGTTTCTTGAATCTCTTTATGCACCTTGGAAGGTGGGGAAGCTGTGCTATAAACCTTTGGATTTATGTAATTTACTCTTGCCTTCTAAAATTAAAAGTAAGTCACAGAGTGAAACTGATCTGCTGTAATTTTCAACT